CCTCCATGGGGTTGAGCAGAAGCAGATCGACATCGAGAGGCAGCTGCGGGCGGACATTGCGCAGCTCCGCGAGCAGATGGGCATCATGGCGAGAGTGGAGCCCTGTGCTGCACCTGCTGGCCCTGACTGGGATCGCCCTCCAGACCTTTCAGCCGTGGTTGTACGGTGCAAGGAGGAGCTTCCCGCGGCGACCTTCAAGCAGGTCATCGACCCCCTCCTCGCGGACGCTAGCATGGGTCCTGACTCATTCGTGGCGGAGGCGGAGCCCCTCGGCAAGCGCTGCGTCTTCCGCTTCAAGGGGCCCCCCGAGCTCGGGGCCAGACGGGCTGCCAAGGTGCTGGGATGCATGCGCCCTGGCCGTGGTGAGTGGCGCAAGCCGCGCGCCGCGACGCCTGCTGGCCACGACGTGGACGTCTTCGTGGCGCCCGACCAGAACCGCAAGCAGGTCATGCACGAGCTCACGCTCAAGAAGCTCGCCATCGCGCTGGGGCGTGTCATCGGCGACGGGCACCGCATCTTCATCGATAAACAGAAGTTCTCCATCTCGTCCCAGTAGAAGTCCTTCCTCCGCCTCTCCATCGACGGCCCCAACGCTACCCCAGCGGTGGCCGAGCCCCCGTCTGCGCTCACGGCACTCGGGCTGCGACGTGAGGACTTGGCACCGACGGTCGAGGCGGCCTTGGCTCCTGGTGATGATGATTGGTGTCTTTAGCACGTTCGTCGAGCTCTTTGCCGCCCCGTTGAGCAAGGGGCTCACCTTCGCCACCTGGAATGCAAGAGCATTCTGTCACCATAAGGCGAACGTGGCGGCACGCAAGAGCAACTGCAGTGGGAATGCACTCCGAGCAGGGGCTATCGTTGGTATGCAGGAGGTACACGGGTCGGCCGTGCGCTTGCGTATGTTGATAGATCGCTTGAGGATGGACTACCAGATGTTCTACTCCTTCGGTGACAATGCTGATGAGTCCCTCGGAAGCGTTGCCACCATCTTCCCCTTCAAGATGCGCGCGGGCCTGGACCTGCGCAAGACGTTCTCCATCAAGGCTCGGGTGATCCGCGTTATGGCCACGATCACGGACGGACCATGCACTGGCTACACTCTGAGGCACTGGAACATTCATGACCGCGACCTCTCCCGCGAACAGGTTCGGCGTGTCGCTGGCGAGATCCAGGCTGATCTTCGCGACATGGAAGTGGATCCGAGGAGGCGATGTGCTGCGATCGTGGGCGGCTTCAATTACGGCGAGAATGTCGAGGTGGAGGGCCCCCTGGCCCCTGGGGGCGGGCGCAGGGCCGCCTCGCGCCCCCGCGGCCGCGCATGGGTTCACTCGCTCAGTGCTGCGACGGAGATGGTCCCCCACAAGCCGACGCACTGGCACCCAGGCAGACAGATCGCCACCTCGATCGACAAGATTTAGATCGGTTCTCCACGCTGGTTACTCACGCAGACCTTTCAGCATGGGCAGGTGCATGGGGAACCCCACGAGATGCACCTCGACGGGCTTTCGGACCACGCGATGTTCTCGGTAGCATGGACTCCCCGCCCACCGAGAAAGAGACCTACCACGGGCGTAATCAACCCTGTCCCGTCCTTCGTCTCGGAGAATCCGCTGTTCGGCGAGATGATCGGGAAGCACGAGAACGCGGTCCCCCTGGATGGTCTCTCTCCCCCCGATCGAGTGCACTACCACACGAAGATCCTGCAGGCGGCAGCGGCCGCCACCCGTGATGCCATTCTTTGTGGTGAGCCTGGTCTGCGGTCGCCGACGGCGTTGATATGGAAACAACTTGGTCGTGCGATGTCGCGTCAGGACACTCGGATGGCGGAGACCCTCCTACGACAGCACGCATGGACAAGCCAGATGAACGAGCTTCGCCATCACCCAGGTCTTGGCAGAGACCAGGTGGTGCTCCTCGACCCGCAGGGATTCTCTCGTCGGCACCGCCTGGCGCAACACCGTGAGATGCAAGCCCGACTCCGCCAGCATCAACATGACATAGACGGGGAACGGCACGAGTCCAACAAGGTAGCGATGGTCCGGCAGCAGAGGGCCCTACGTCGTCGTGCGGCCACGTGGGCGCCGTCGTCGGCCCGACGTTTCCTGGGGGGCATCGAGCTGGACGATGGCACGGTTGCGCGATCGGAGCAGGACATCCAGAGAGCGCTCGCGCAGTACTGGCGAGGCGTCTTCGGCGACGACGTGGTCAAACGGAAGCAGTCTGCGGAGGAGATGATGCGCAACCTAGCCACCAACCCGAACGACGTCCCCATGACCTTCCAGGACGGCATCATGGTACCCCTCCCCCGAGATGCTCCTCGTGCAGTCCATCGTCGACGGGAACTCCAGGATGGATATCTCCGCCGCTACGGCATCCAGGGAGCTGACTGGGCCTCGATCGAGCCCCCCTCGGCACACACCGTGGCATTGGCTCCCCGCAAGGCCCGCAAGTCAGCCCCTGGCCCTGACGGCCTCGGTGCTAAGGCCTGGCTCGCCACGCCGATGGGGGTCGAGACGCTGGCGGAAGCACTGGCATGGCAGCTTGAGGGCCTCCCCATGCGCCAGGAGTGGAACTACACCGTCGCCGTCTTCCCCGCCAAGGGGACGCGTGCTGATGACCCTCATGAAGTCCTCAGGCGCGCCGGCGAGACTCGGCCACCGGCGCTGGAGAACACTTCCAAGAAGGCCGTCATGTGGGCCCTCAACTCATGCATGAAGAGAATAGCGGAGCGGCACTGTGTGGACACGCAGCGCGGCTTCATATGCGGGCGCAACTTTTGCGACAACATAGTCGAACTGGACTCGCACTCCCGCGCGCTGTCCATGGCTGCCGGAAGTGCCGACTCTCCCTTCCTCATCTCCTTCGACTGGGGCCAGGCCTTCCCGAGCATCGCGCAGGACTGGCTCTTCGGCGCGCTGCGCGCCATGGGCGCTCCCCATGGGCTCCAGGACGCGCTGAGGGTCAACTGCGACGGAGTCGTCGCCCTAGCGGCCTCTCGCACGAGGGCGGCGCTCTACTCGGTGCGCTCGGGCATCCTTCAGGGCGACCCCGCCAGCGGCACGCTGTTCGTCCTCGCCGTCCACCCGTTCGGCCAGGACCTGAAATCCAACCTGGACTCCAAGCGTCGGGGCATTTCGAGGCGGTGCGCTGACGACCTTGGCGCGACGGTGATGGCCCAGCGTGGGCTGTGCACGCTGGCCCGAGTCTTCCGCGGCGCGAAGCTCCTGGCAGGCCTGGTGATCAAGCCTGCAAAGTGTCGTGCAAACCCGCTGGGGGACCCGCAATGTGCTGGCGCGATGGAGCGGGCGCGTGACTCCCTGGTGGCTGCGGACAAAGACTGGGTGGCATTCCCTATCGTGGATCATCTCGAGTATCTGGGCGTGCTGCTGGGACCTGGCGCGACGCAGGAGGTTCAATGGCGCGCTCCCATGAGGAAATACTCCCAACGCGTCGGAGAGATTTCCAGGAGCCGCGCGGACGTGCACGCGGCCATCCACTTGTACCAAGAGCGCTGCGTGCCCGTCTTCTCGTACAAGGCGCAGATGATGGAGGCCCCCGCCACTCTGAGGAAGCTCGAGCGCGGGAGGCTGGCGCACCTGCTGCGCCACCCTGGCAGCTTCCTGGGGGACGGGGAGTGGCACGAGCTCAGCACCGTCGGCGGCCCGCAGATCCCGTCCGCCACGACCCTCTGCGAGGCAGCCCTAGTGCGGGCGGCGGTGGTCACGCTGGGCTCCTGGCGCACGGCTGCGCGGCAGCTCCGTGGAGCCGCGCTGAGGCACCTGCCACTGGTGCGCACGGTCCGCGGATGCCCGTGGCCCTGCTGGTGGCGATCTGAGGCCATTGCGACGACGCTGGAGAGAGCGGCGTCGAGCTGCGGGACGGGCCCACGCCCGTCGGCCGCGCGCGCCCTCCGCGAGGCCGCCTCCAGCGAGGCCCGTCGCAGGCGCCCCAGCAATGCTGCGGCGGCAGGCTCCCCTGCGGCGTGTGCGGCCACAGTCTCTCCTCTACTCCTCCCTCCTCCGTTCGTACCTTCGCTCCGATCCTCGGTTCCCGCGCCTCCATCTCCGTCTGCAAGAGCGCCTCCGACGCTGGTTTGGGGTCCACGATGCCGACGCTGGTGCGATCGACTGGTCTGCCGTTGCTGCGGCGATGCATCGCATTCCGCCGCCCTGGCGAAGTGCTTGCATCAAGACGTGGGGAGGGGGCTGGATCACCGAGTCCAGGATGCGCAACTCGTGTAGGTGTTGCGTCTGGGGATGTCCTGGGGCTCGCGACTCGCTGAAACATCACTTTTGTTGGTGCGACCCGATGTATCGGCTTGCCCGTAGGCAATTAAGAGCAGACCTCCCCGCGCCCCCGTTTTTGGACCCCCTCCTGGCTCTGGGACTGATCCACCCCACCCCCGAGACGTTCAAATTCACCGCGTTTTATGTTCAGCTCTATCGGCTGGCTCACCAAGAGAGCAAAGCCCGCGCCATCCCGTTTTGTGACAATGATGCTCGCTCGCTCGCTCGTGCGGCACTTCAAGCTGTCGCAATGCCCCTCGGTGATCAGCGCCGAAGGTGGCCCCGCCCCCAAGGCGGTAGGTGGGGAAGACACGCGGCCCCCCAGACGCTCCAACCTCCTCCTCCTCCTCCTCCTCCTCCTCCTCCCTCCCTCCCTCCC